CTTAGGGTCTTGCGACCTCTCTGGGCTCTGACAAATAAAATGAAGGGAAATTATCTCTCTTGGCTCTCAGTTCCCATAGATAGATCCTGCCAAAGGCTTCTGCCAGAATAGGGTGGGAAGAGAGCAGTGAGTCCTGCTTTCGGGGACCACCAGCATGTAGCCTCTCATTACTTTCCAGCCAACTTCTTAATCCCATTCCAGTCCAGGAAATCCATTTCTTATCTCTAGGAAAGGATGTTATACTATTGTATATACCAGCACTGTCCAATAGGAAAATAAGGCAAGCCACATGTATAATTAAAATTTTTCCAGTAGCCACATTAAAAGAGTAATGAATGAAATTAATTTTTAATGTCTTTTTTATCCAATACATTTAAAATATTATCATTTCAATAGGCAGTCAATAGAAAACTTTTAAATAAGATATATCCTCTTCATTTGTACATACTAAGTCTTTGAAATTGGTGTGTGTTTTATACTGACAGCCCATCTCAATTTCAACTAGCCACATTTCAAATGTTCAGTAGTCACATATAGGTATAGGTTATCATATTGAACAGTACAGGTCTCTAACTGGATATATTTCATTACCCCCTAAAGGGCTTGGGTTCTGAAACTGAAAAACAAGGAGAAATCCCCTGTTTCCTTACATTCTGTTATACCACTTTCCTGAAACAATAAGCAAAACCCAGTCTATCTGAGGGTGGATATGGGGCTTCCATGGTGGCTCAGACGGTAAAGAATCTGCCTGCAATGCGGGAGATCCGAGTTTGATCCTTGGGTTGGGAAGATCCCCCTGGAAAAAGGAATGGCTACCCACTCTAGTATTCTTGCCTGGAGAATCCCATGGACAGAGGAGCCTGGCAGGCTACAGTCCATGGCGTCACAGCAGTTGGACACAACCAAGCAACTAACACTAACATGATGCTGCAGGTGTCTTTGGGTGGGGTATAGGAGGAGAAAGGCCACAGGATAAAAAGAATACTCGGAAAAACAACTACTACAAAAACCTCAGTTAATATTTCAAAAGTATCAGCCTGCCACAGTGAGTTTTTTAAGGGTATAAATATTGCTGTAGGATTGTCAGAAGAAGTTTGTTTGTTATGGGCATAAAAGAAATAGTAATTTTATTAGCAGTTAAAAATTGCAGTAATATTGTTGTGTATTGTATAGCTGCTATGGTAACTGGAAAACACAATGCAAAAATCTGCAGTGCAGTGCTATTGTTTCGGGTAAATCTTATTACTATGACTAAGGCACAGTTAAGTTCTATTAGTAGTTAAATCCTGCAATAATACCGCTGACAATTTTTTACTGCAAAAACTGTAAAACCCAAGGATAAGAATTTTATTACCAGGGATGATAATAATTCAAGCCTATGGTTGCACTTCATAGACCAGAATCTCCATTTAGGGGGTTAACTGGCAAAGCTGCTTCAATGAAAATAATTTCTATCATTTCAAAACTGTCATGGCACAAAGGATTTGAAATTTTGGGGTGGCATTTTCCATTTTTTTTATATTTTATTTTCACTGTAAGCTTGGTGATATATAAAGGCAATATAGAAACTGTTTTAAATGTTGAATCTTTTAAGTAAAACAGCTATAACATTTTGCAGTCAACATCTGGGTCAAATGGACAGGACAATTAAAGTTACTTATATCCACAGGTGTATAACATGCAGATTAAGCCTGGGATGAAAGGAGATGATAAATCAAGACAGGGATTTAGAAAGAGGCAGAAACACAGTTTGGAAGGGGCGAGGGTCAGTAGGATGTACTTACTGGTACATACTGGTAGGTAGGAGAAATGGGAACCTTAAGAAAAAGGTAATTTCTAGAATGCCAAAAGATCTCAGATGATATATGGCATGGAAGGTGGTCATGGGGATTGGGGCTAATTGAATTCTTAGTAATTATTAAAAATTTCTGTGTATACATAGGCTAAGTAATCACTGAGTTTAATGGAAGACAAATAATGTTGAAAGTAGTTTATTTTGAGATTTGTTATTCCTTGAGGTAGCGATGTTTGGTAACAACTAAGTATTGCCCAAGTTATTCTTGAAGGTCAATTTTTATGTTTATTGTGTATTATTTTTGACTCTGCTAAAAAATACAATGATGTACATTATTAATTGCTATTTATTGACTGTTTACTGTACATCAGGCACTTTACATACTTATCTTCCATCTTCTCAACATCCCAGAAAGGAAGCGTGATGATTTGTTTGACAGAATAAGAAACTGGGACTTAGAGAGGTGAAGTGATTTGTGTTAATTTCCTGCATGTATATTGAATATCTGTTTCTGAAAATTCTTTGAGAGCAGGGACTGTACCTTTTATGTGCCATTAATAACATTTCATGCGATCAATACTCAGTTGGTACTCCCTATCAGCTAAGTGGATAGAAAGATCTTAAAATATTCTATATTTAAGGTTCTTCAATAAATTTAGTTAGCAAACAGGTTATTTAAAAAAAAAAAAAGTCATGAGGGAAGAAGTAGCTACTCTGTGGGGTCTCCAGGAGCCTATGAACTTGAGCTTAGCAGCAGGGTTAAGGTCTGTTTTTAATTCCTCCATTTCTAAACTTGGGCTCTTAGCTACTTTTGCAGCTAGGATGAAAAAGATGAGTTTATATCCAAGAGGAATACTTACCCTAAAAAGAAGAATTATCATTTAAGAAACTCTTTCTTAGTTTCTTGAAGTTTTCCCCAACTTGAGAAAGATTCCCTAGGGTCCCACACACTCCTTCTCCTTCTTATTTTAAAAACAGTTTGTGTGTGTGTGCTTGTTCTTCCGAATCAAACCTGTGCTGCTTGCATTGGCAGTATGGAGTCTTAACCACTGGACCACCAGGGAAGTCCCCTCTTCCTTTTTAGGAAGGGAAAGTATTAAATGAAACCAGAATAACCACATGAGAAAGTCTGTGAATTTCTGAAGAAGAATAATAAAAAATAGGATGCAAACCCCACTTGATTATCATGTGGGTTGTTCCTGAAAGACATCACAGATTAAAACAGGTTGTGACCATTTCTATAAATTAGCCATTAAAAAATCCATACACTTAGAGTCTGTTAATGATGCAGAATATATCACTATATGAGATCATAATAGATGTAGGTTACAGTGACTTAGTAAGCCACTCAGGAAGGACAGGAGAGAACTTTAAGATGTACACAAAATCAGAATCAATATAATTATTACAGTTATCTTTCATATTTTAAAATTAAGACTATAGCAAAATAAGTGATATCTATGCCCTTTTCTGTAAAATGTGCACTGTGTTTTTGTAATATTATTAGATCACTTTCTTTATTGCATGCAAATGGAAATGGAATTAGATACTGGATTCAAGCCTTCTATGTCTCCCAATCTATGCTGATTCTTCAGTCTCTCCTTTCTCTTGCCTCCCCATGGCTACAGATGAGCTCAACTCTCACCCATCACTGCCCTCCTTCCTGACCTTAAAAGAATCCTTCCCTAGATGGTAACATCTTTCAAGCTATTTTGTCCACACATCCTGCTCTCTATGCTTAATAAGATTAAGAATGTGCTCTAATTATTTCCAGGACTCATCTTGCTTGTTTTCTTTTCATAAGTTAGTTTCCCTCTTTTTCTCAATTGACCCATTGCTTCTAGGGTGCTGCTACTTCTCTGACCATTCCCTTCTGTCTCCTTACCACCTTACTTCTTCCTCAAATGCTGAGATTCCCCCCAAAGTTCATTGTTTGTCTTCTTTCTCTAAACCGGAGGTCTGTGGACTACCTAAAATTGAAAGCAAATTTTTGTCTTAGGATAGGACCTATCGCTCCTCGGTAAAATACGCATACCTTTCATCACCGTTCTCAAAAGGGTCCTTGGCTCCTTTAACAAGGTTAAGTGCCCCTGTCCTCACACACTCCTTAGGTTGTTTCATCCTCCCCTTTGCCCATAACCACTCTTTTTATATGCTAACCCTCCGAAACTCATCTGAGAGAGAGAAAAAGATCGATAGCGAAGAGGAGAAACTAGGATTCATAAAAACGTTTAAGAATTATAACAAGAAGAAATCGCAGCGTGAACATTTTATGTCCCTAGTAGTTCAGAGGGTAAAGCGTCCACCTGCAATGCAGGAGACCCGGGTATTATCCCTGGGTCGGGAAGATCCCCTGGAAAAGGAAATGGCAACCCACTCCAGTATTCTTGCCTGGAGAATCCCATGGACGGAGGAGCCTGGTAGGCTACAGTCTACGGGGTCGCAAAGAGTCGGACACGACTGAGCGACTTCACTTTTGGTTATTGAACCTGGTTCATTAAGGACCAGCAGATCCAATGTTTGGTAGGGGCTTAGCCAGGTCATTACAGTTGGTCAGAGGAAAAATCCCAGGAGGTTAAACCAAGGCTCTGTGCGCAGCTAGTGGCAGAGAGGGCACACCCAACTCCTAGGGTGGGGAGAGAACTGGACGAGAAAACCACAGCAGCTCACAGCTGCAGAGAAGCCAGTCCCGGGCTCTGCTCTGACTCCAGCTATAAACCCCGCCCAGCACCTTTGACCGACATCCGCCTTCAGCAACCACCTTCCAGATCACTATAAACACTCTTCACTCCTCCCACCTAGCTCTTCCCTCCTGAAGCCAATCAGAGGGATGGGAGGGACTGTCCATAGAGGGTTCCAATTTTTTTTTTTTAAAAGAAGGGTAGATTGTACGCCGCGTTCCGCCTGGCGGAAAAACACCTCCAGAACTAGGGGAGGGTGGAGCTCTGTGATGGGCACCCTGCTCGGCCAATGAGGCGCCCCTGCCCCTCAAAGGCCCGGTCGCCGAGGTGGGCGGGGCAAGCGCGGGACCCAGCCAATGGCGGCGGGGCGGACGGAGGCTGAGCCGCCGTGGGTAGGGTTAGTGTGAGAGGTGCGGCGGGGGAGGTAATGATGATGGTGGCGGAGGAGAAAGGCGGGGGAGGGGGTGCTGGGCGCTGAGCGGCGGCTCTGGCAGGGTTTTGTAGGGTGGGGGACGGTCGCGGGGCTACTGCGTCCGGGAGGGGGCGGGCGTGAGGCGCGCTGTCCGCCTGAGGGGCTGCAGACCCCGGCTCCCGGGAGCGCCGCTGCTGGCTCGGCTGTTCCATGTGGCTCCGGCGGGGATGGAGGACTCGGTGGCGGCGGCGGCGGCTTCTGCTGCGGCGGCGACGGAGGAGCGGCGCTGAGGAGGGAACCGGGCCAGGCTCAGCCCGACAGCGGGATTAGAGGTGTGAGGAGGGGGCGGGAGTGGACGTGCTGCGGGGCCGGGGCTCGGGTACCGGGCTGGGGTCTTCTGGCATCGCCTGGGTGACAGGGACGGCTGGCGAGCTACCGCCTGCCTCCGCTGGGGGCAGGGGTCTGGGCTGTGTGCGGGAGGAGAGGCGGCTCCGGCGGACTCTTCCCTGAGGATGGGGGAGGGAGGCACCGCACCCCGCACCGTGCACTTGCCCCTTTGGTCATTGCTTCACGCCCAGGCAGGAGTTTACATTTCCCTCCGGTTGGCAGCGAAGGTGAATGAGAGCCCAAGTGGCCTGGAGCCGGGACACTGCCCTCTCTCTGTCTTGAGATTTCCCTCCACTCCTCTTTTCCCATCCGTTTCCCCCTCCGACTCAGCAGCAACATTCGTCCCCGCTCCTTAATTTGCTTCACGCACTTATTTTAGGACTTAGAGCTATTAATTATCACCTGAAAAATAAAGTTTATTTTAAAATACTCCACTCCTTCCTCTGACTGGCGGTGGACGTTAAGCAGCATCTCTAGACTTTCCCGCTCTGCTCGCCCTTCTGTGATGCTAGGAGGAGGAGGTAGGGCCCTGTCTTTCGCCTCTCAATTGTTGATGCTGATTACCTGATGTGTTGCTCCACGTCTGTGGTGTGAGTTGCAGTTTCTTCCTTGGTGTCTTGCATCCTTGATGTTACTGGCTTTTGAGGTTAGTGTTTTGTTTCATTGTTTGAAAAACATGCTGGAGAACTGGGGTCGTCTGTTGCAGTGTTATCTGACGTGGGTGGTTAGTCACTTATGCTTCTCTTCTCATTTTTTTTCTCTTTGTTTTGCTTTTCAGTCCTCCAGAATACATATCATATAGACCTGAGGTGGAATGGTGATGTCTCCATGAGGGAACCTCCTCTCACTCATCCTGTCATGTGTGTGATACTCTTCATGACTGGGCCATTCATCTAGGATGGGATTTACCCTGTGAAACAGGGAGAAGACTTTATGGACCCCAAACATCATTTCAAGTTGTAGTTGAGTTTTTTAAAGTACAGACATACATGCAAAGCTCCTTTGCTTTGGACCTTCTGCTTTGTTAAAGCTGCTGTGTTGCTAACCCAGAACTGCTCCACTGTTTTGACTGATCATCATGGCTTCAGTTTGGAAGAGACTACAGCGTGTGGGAAAACATGCATCCAAGTTCCAGTTTGTGGCCTCCTACCAGGAACTGATGGTTGAATGTACCAAAAAATGGTAAGAGTGCCTGGGTGTAGAGTTTGCTGTGCTGTGGCCTAAACCCTGCTGCTTCTGACAGCGGATTTACCTTTCTGCAGTGCACAAGTGTGTAAAAGCTGGGCGGGGTGCAGATGACTCTCACAAGTACTATGGTGTGCGCTGTTGCTGCTGGTACCATTCCTGTGGGTTTTAATTACTGCACTTCAGTGTGGCTCAGAGGACTGTTACTATGAGAGCACACCAAGTACAGAGGACTCGGTCTTGAGGTCTTCATCATTAGTGTTAGGATAACTTTTGATTTTTGTAATTTTAAGGAGATGTGAAAATGCCTATTGAAATATTGTAAACATATGCATATATTTTGATTAACACGTATGTCTATGTTTCAATAGAGTTTTAATACAGAAATCTATTTTTGTAGGGTGGTGCTGGTCTGTTTTTTTTTTCTTTTGCTTAAAATAAAGAATTTTTCATTATCTGATTAATAGAATGCCAGTCCACACAACCTTAGAAATTCTTTTGTTATATGCTTAGTCAGGCAACTGTATTTTATTTTAATTGCCTAATGGATACATTTCTTGGCCAGACTTAAGGAAGCAATTAGTAGTGCTGGTCTATGATTTGCTGCTTTCCACTTGAGCAAAGTAAATTTAGGGCTTTCTTTTCACTGCCCTGAATGATAAGCAAGAGGAATTCTTATTGGGCTTCCCTTGTAGCTCAGCTCATAAAGAATCTCCCTACAATGCAGGAGACCTGGGTTCGATCCCTGGATCAGGAAAATCCCCTGGAGAAGGAAATGGCAACTCTCCAGTATTCTTGCCTAGAGAATCCCATGGACAGAGGAGCCTGGCAGGCTATAGTCCATGGGGTTGCAAGAGTCGGACACGACTTAGCAACTAAACTACTACTATTCTTATTAGAGGAAAAAAGTTAATCTTAAGAAAATGGTATTTTGGGTTTTGATTTATTGCGGTGATTAAGCAGTATTACTGTAAAAATAAGTTCATTTCATTATTCACACAGACTGTAATCTCATGTCTGTATTAATCTCTTTTTATAAGATGAAAAACAACTTGCTCTACTCTAGAACTCTTAAAACATATCTGAATATTTATTTGGAAACTAGTTTCCAAATGCTTTTCTCTTAAACTTGTTAGAATGTTATTTCATGTGCAACTCAAGAAGTGCATGTATTGATTACTTACTTTATACTAGGCTCTGTAGCTTTAGAGTTGAATATGAAATAATCCCCACCCTCAAGGAGTTCACCCTCAAGGAGTCTAGGGCAATGACAGGTCATGTAAATGAAGTCTCTGTGATAGGTACAATAATATAAATATGTATGATGTAGGGATCTTAATCTGTCTCTATCCCCTAACAGTTAGATGTTCTTGGGTACAGGTTATTTTCTCCTCTGAGATAATTTTCATGTTGAGAAAGGTAATAATGGTATTACTTCACAGAAAGGGTTATTTTGGGGGGGAAAAAAGGGTTATTGTGAAGATTAAATGAGTTAAGACATGTAAAATGCTTGGAACAATGTCAGGCACGTAGTAAATGCTCAATAAATGCCATTTTTACTTATAAAGTTAGCAGAGAAGGAAATAACTCTTTAAGGGTAGGGTAGGTATGGGATCCTACTATCTGGGAACCTAGTTGAGTTTTGAAAGGTTCATAATAATTGGCCAGGAAGCTAAAGGGGAAGAAATGAAGGATTTTCTAGATGATAACGGCTGCTTATGCAAAAGCATGGATGTGTGTGGTATGCCAGAAGTTCATGCAGTGTAACTGGATAATGATGGGCCTTAAAGTGGGAGGAATGCAGTGGGCTATGTTGTTTTAGAGGCAGGCAGGAGTGAAGTGCTGTTATACATGCCTTGGACTTTATTCTGTGGGTGATGGAGAGATACTAAAAGGTTTTGAGCGGAAGAGACTTTAGGTTTGAAGAAAAGTGAAAGTGTTAGTCGCTCAGTCCTATCCAACTCTTTGCGAACTAATGGAGTGAAGCCCGCCAGGCTCCTCTGTCCATGGAATTCTCCAGGCAAGAATACTGGAGTGGGTAGCCGGTCCCTTCTCCAGAGGATATTCCCAACCCAGGGGTCGAACCCGGGTCTCTGTGTCACAGGTGAATTCTCTACCGTCTGAGTCACCAGGGAACCCTGACTTTAGATTTTCGTTCTGGAAAATCATTTGAATGACAGTGTGAAGTAAGCATCATAGTGGAAAGGGTAACTAGAGGCTGTGACGGTAGGGTAGCTATTGCAATGGGTAAGGTGAGAGAAGAGGTTTAGACTAAGGCAGTGGCAGAGAAAGTGGGGAGAATAGAGTAGAGTAGAATAGAGTAGAATAGAATAGAGACACTTATACCCCAAAATGGATAATACTTAATGGTCATTTCAGTATGGGTCTGAAAAGGATGGAGACAAGGGAGAGGGAAAGGTCTGGGTTGACATCTAAGTTTCTGGCTTGGAGGACTAGTGTGCTACTAACTCAACTAGGGAATACATGAGGAAGTTCTTGATTACAAGTTATTCTCAACTTCGTCTTATACTGGGGGCATCAACTATAAGATGGTTAAATTTGAATCTCTTTTCTTAAGGGAAATAGAACATATCAGGTGATTCTTTATTTACAACATGAGTTTCTTCCCCACAGTTTGCATCATTCCTGGGTTTTTATTTTTCCTTGAGAAATATGTATGTTATTGTTAATGTGTCTCAAGGTAAAAGCCAAGAATGAAATTTAACTTGATTATTGATGAATAGATGGCTCAATTACTTTTAGGGTTGGACATTATGGTATACCTATTAAATTAGGTCTTTATGATAAGGTCTGGCCTTAACACAAGAAGCTTTTGGATATTGTAGAATTTTTAGATGTGTAGTTCTAAATATTTTGCATTTCCCCCCATCTCATTTAAAAATACAGTTTAAAGTTTAAAGTTAACAAGGTGACAGTGCCCAAAGAATAATATATTTGTTTGATGTACTGGAATTTTATTTATAAGTGGATCCTTAGATAGAGCTTTAAAAATTTTCATATAAAAATTTGTTGTAATAAGTTTTAGTTAATATTCTTTTTGCTTTACTCTGCACAGGGTCCTTTTGATAAATACAGGTTAGGCCAAATTTCTATACTTAAATCCTGTAGCTCTCTTTTTTTATTTTTCATGCCTCATTTTGATGCTTGCAAGAATTTTTAAATTACTGAATATGTATGCTGAATTAGAATCTATTTAAAGGACATAAGAATAAAAATGGACTTGAGACACATAGTAAGAACATACATTTTTTCAGTTATATATACATTTTAGGTATTGTTTTGAGGGTATGGAAAAATAAAAGAGGAAGGCAATTGAGTAAAGGGAAAGAGGCTTTGAAGATAAATTGCAGGTGTTGAGAGGATAAGAAAATAGATCTAATATACATTAGAGAAGAAGGAATAAACTATAAAAAGAACAGCCAGCATTAGGATTGTGCCTTTGTAAGTAAACTGTATACACGTGCCATACCTTTTAGAACCTTGCTACTACAAGTGTTTTCTGAGAAACAGGAGAATTTGCAAAGCCTGGGAATGAATCTGTTAGAACTGCTGTCCCTCAGGCCCTGCCCTGGACTTACTGAATCAGAATCTGCATTTTAATGAGATCCATCCCTTGGCTTCCCTGATAGCTCAGTTGGTAAAGAATCTGCCTGCAATGCAGGAGACCCTAATTTGATTCTTGGTTCGGGAAGATCCCCTGGAGAAGGGATAGGCTACCCACTCCAGTATTCTTGGGCTTCCCTTGTGGTTCAGCTGCTAAAGAATCTGCCTGCAATGTGAGAGACCTGGGTTTGATCCTTGGGTTGGGAGGATCCCCTGGAGAAGGGAAAGGCTACCCACTCCAGTATTCCAGCCTGGAGAATTCCATGGACTCTCTAGTCCATGAGGTCGCAAAGAGTTGGGCATGACTGAGCAACTTTCACTTTCTTTATACCATGCATATTAAGGTTTAAGAAACAGTATTTTAAAATAATATTTTCAGCCTAAGTGCCTATTCATGACTTCAGGATAAAGTATACTGATTTCTGTATGAATTTGAAACTCAAGGGAATGATGAAACTTCAGGATTCAAGAAGGGTGTAGTGTGTTGATGGAAGAGGTTAATGGGACTTAGGATATGTTTAGGATATGTTTTCCTAGGAAGAACATGTGTTATTTCTGTGATTAAGGAGAGGAGAAATGTTTTCCATGTTCCCTTGTTATGGCTGTAGGTTATGAACCTGGCCGTGACAGGTAACAGGATGAAGGTAAGGGTTTCAGGAAGCCGTCTTTAAGATCTAGGCCATGAGCAAACTCACAGCATTTTACCCTTGATCAAAGGATGGATTCTATTTAAGGGGTTTGGAGTTTCTGCTTTCTTACACTTTTCTTTGTTGCTGTCTTATAGTATTTTTCATTTGCCCAACATAGTATGTTTCCTTAGCTCAACAGTGTCTAACTTATAATTCTTTCTTGATGTAGTGGCTCTAGAAGTTAGGTCAGGAACAAAAACCAGAAAGACTTATTCATCTGAGAGTATACTATACTGTTAAGTCCTGTTCCTCATCACTCCATAACCAGGTAGAGGCTCCAGTAAATTTGAAGATGTTAAGTGTTTATATTCCCCTTCTGTTATTGTTGTCCCCAAGTCATTTAATTATTAATCTCACTTAACTGATGTAGCTGTTGGCAAGTGGTAAGACTGGCCACTAGAGAGGACTCTGGGACAAAGAGACTATGCTGTCTTTCCTCTCTTAATTTGTTTCTTCTCCTGTTTTTCTTTTTAAAAAATATCACCTGCAGGTCTTTAGATTTCTGAGAGAAGTCTTGTATCAGCTCTCAATGGCTATTCAGCTGTTTAAGGAAACTACTTGAAAGTTGGCACGTTGTGGTTATGATCATTTAGTTTGCAGAACTCAATTCTGATAGGAGCTCCCTAATACATGATGAGAACTGTTATGAGAATGTATTATATTTTCTGTGTATATCTCTGTATC